GGTCTTCACTAGTAGATGTGTCCATCCGGGCCGGCTCGACCCGGAAATCCGGGCCCGAGTCGGGCAAAATCGAAGCCCGGACCCGACCGGGCCGGCCCGATTTTTTTCCTTTTTTTAAATTCTATTTAAATTTTAAATTATAAAAAAAGACAAAAAATTAATAAAAAATAATAATTTTATTAATCACTTAAATGACATAAATTACAAATAAAAAATTATAAAAATAAATTATTTATTAATAGTTAATAAATAATTTATAAATTATAAGTATAAATTTATTTTGGAATTCATTGCATCACAATAGATAAGTACATCCCAACTAGTTTTTTTTTAATTTCTTTTCTTTTTTTTTGATAAAAAAATGCTAAAAATTAGTTTAACATTATTATATTTTATATAATTATGTATTAGTATATACTTACAAATTATTATGTAACTATATATTATATATACATATATTATATGTAAATATATTGTATATATTTATAAGTTATAGCTTGAGAGAGAGAGAATCGCATAAGTAGCCGTTGCCCGTTGGGCCAATGGGGAAGAAGTAGCCGTTATATAAGAGAGGGTATACATATATAAGGGAGAGTATACTTATATATACATATATACTAAGAGAGAGAGTATATATATACATACATACATACATTATACATATATAAGAGAGAGTATTCTTATATATACTTATATAAGAGAAAGTATACTTATATATACTTATACATATATATACTTATATAAGAGAGAGTATACTTATTTATACTTATATACTAAGAGAGAGTATATATATACACACATATGACATATTATACATATATAGAAATATATTATATATACATATATTATATATATACATATTATATATATTTATATATACATATATTATACATATATAATACATATTAAAAAATAAAAAAAAATAAAATCACTATTCCAGGCAGGGCCGAGCACCAAAGAGCGGGCCCGGGCCCGACCTAGAGCCCGAACTTGGCCCGGGTGTCCGGGCTGGACACCCCTATTCACTAGGCTATCATATGCTTGTTTAAACATGTATATAAACTCTAGATTAGCTTAAAAGGATTCAATGAATAAATTAGAGTGAAATGCTAAACTAAATTATCAATTTTAGCTAAATCTAAAAATTTATACCACGTGCATTGCACGTGCAATTCACCTAGTATATATATGCGTGTGTGTGCGTATATATATACTTCAATGGTTAATATGGTGCAATTTAATTTAACTTTTTCATGAATTGAAATGTTAGTATTGAGGATTTGTTGTGACACTTAATTAACACCAGGAATATGTTATACATGAATGCAGCGTGCATGTATATTTTTATGTTGGAGGTAAATCTTGACTTTGTTAATATTCCTATGGTGGGTATCTTTTTGTAACTCTCACCTTAGTTCATTTCTTTGGAATATGGTGAAAATTTTAGCAAGTTTACAGTTTAAGGATCCAAGGAGATTAGAAATTATTACCTTGATTAGACTCACTTTTCGTCATTATTAGCAGTTTACTTATTATAGTTGCACCATTTGAGATACCGGTACTCAAGATCTCATCTATTTGAATACAAGTCCCCAAATTATTATATTTCAATTTCTCCAAAATCTATTAGGGGGTGTTTGTTTCACCAAAAATTTTGGTATTTGGTATGAATTACAAGTTTTGGGATCAAAAAGTGAGTTTTTTCATATTTTGGGAGTCTATATATGATGTTTATTTAAAAAAAAACTTTCAGAATATTAAATCCCAAAAGTGCAAAAAGTGCCTAATTTTTAGAATTTGCCAAATCCTCTCAATTAGAGAGGATTTTGACAAATCTCATAAATGAGTGTGCTTACCTCTCAATTGGAGAGGGTTTGACAAATTCCAATTTTTATCTTTCTGTGAGAGTCAACCTCTCCAAGATAGCATATTCATCATATTACAAAATTTTGACATTTGATAATGCTGCAATTTGAGCTTGAAACAAATAAAATATCATAAATTGTAGTATTTCAAATTCTAAAATATTATGAAACAAACAACAATTTAGAAATCCTAATCCATAACAAAAAATCTATGAATTTTAAATCCCATGGTAAAATCTATATCCTAAAATTATAAGATTTGAAATATACACTGTCAAAAAGGACTCTGATCTCTCAATATTAAATTAATATTTATCGAATATCTAATCAATAAAAATTAGATGATTAACCTCTCCCCATTCAACTTTGGGAATCCGCACAACGTCCTATCAATACACGTTTTCTATCATCTGTGAACTAAACAAATAACAAGATATTAGCCACTTTTCAAATTATTTCATATTTAATTGCAGTACTCTTTGGTGCGTTGTGAATCCATCCACGAAACTATTAAAAATTGATTTCAACTTTCTTCTAATTAAACATATTATTGTTTCTCTTTTTTTTTTCCCTCGACACAGAACTACACAATGCACAAGATGGTTATTAGTCCATCTCATTAATTTTACTTTTTATGTTGTCATTATTTGAACGCAAATTACATATAGAAACAGTGGATATGAGTTGACGGTTCTTTTTGCTAAACTAACTACTAAATGATAATTATGTGGTAGTGATGCGCTCACTCGATTTAGTCATATCAAGACCTCATATTTCTTATTATTTCACTTTCCTAAATCAGCCGGCAATATGATATATATATATATATATATATATATATATATATATAATATATAATAATATATATATATATATATAATATATATATATATATATATATATATATATATATATATATATATATATATATATATAATATATAGGGAGAGGTTCTAATAAAAAACCTAGAGAACTAAAAACCAATCTTAACCCTACATTCTATTTCATCCAATGGTCAAGATTGAAAATGGCAAATTGAAATTAAATACATCATCAGCTTACAAAATAGACCGTAAAAGGGGTAATATAGGAAAAGCGCATTAATGATCATACGCTGTAAATTAATTAAGAGAAGAATGTCGAACACTTCTTCCGCACGGCATGAGAAAAAACGATTCAGTTTCCAGTTTCATCTTCTCTTTACAGCCCAAGAACTAAACTGTTCACATTCCGTCGATTTCTCAAATTTAGGTTTTCTTTGAACATCGTCGTTAGCAACTCGAACGAAGACGAACGAGCAAGATTCGACCGAATGACTACGACAAGCAGAATTCGAGCGATAGAGATGAAGACAAAACAACAACAAGAGACTCCAAAACCCTCGTCTTCAGAACAGGTAAAACGATTCCAACCCTCGTATTAAAAATGTAATTTTTTATTAAAGTTTGAAACATTTTTCATAAGATTCAGTGTGGGAAAAGTTCGTAATTTAGAGCGTGAATCACTTGCATGTTGTTGAAGACTTTTTTTTTTAGCTTTATAGAATGTTACTGTTGCATGTTCTAGTTTAGGGTTTTTATTTTTTACATTTTCCTTTATCTTGTTAAATCAAGTAATTGTTCTTAATATTATAAAATGTTTCATCTGTTCTAAACGGGTAGCGATTAATTCTGGTTGGTCTGGATTCTGCAATATGCACTCTACTTGAATCTCCTCCATTCACGTTCAGTGAAACGAGATTCACTGTAAATGAATCGAGATCATTTGAATGAATCGCGATTCATTCGATCGTATCTCTATTCACTCAAGTGAATAGCTATTTAGTGGAGTCAATTTGTATGCACTCAAACATAGAGAATCTCGATTCACTAATGTGAATCCTGATTGTTCGTAGAGAATTGAGAATTGAGATTCACTTTATTATGATTGTTTGTAAAAAATAACAAATATGATCCTAGGCCGAGTATATAGGATGGATATTTTCCCAAATATGATCCGAAGCCAAGTATATAGGATGGAAAAAATTATATGCTTTATGTATACTAACAGTGAAATTAAACTGTAACGATGATAAGTTTTTCCTTTTTGTGTTGAGGGACAAGACACTGAAAGAATGTATGGTATGGCATGGAGTTGGTTTCATATCATTGAATCTGGATTCAATTTGCTGAAGCTCGATACAATTTGTTGAATCTGGATTCACTTTGCTAAATCTCAATACATTTGGTTGAATCTCGATTCACTGTAGTGAATCTAGATTCACTTTATTGAGTCTCGATACACTATAGTGAATCTAGATTCACTTAGAGTGAATCTCGATTCAATACAGTGAAACACTGTTGAATCGCGATTTAGTGCAGTGAAACGAGATTCATTTCAGCGAAATGCTATTCACTCCAATGAATCGCGATATGTATTATAATATCTATATTCAATAATGTGATTAAACCTTCATGCTTGCCATGCATTATGCAAAGTCTGGTATCATTAAAAAATGAAATGTCATCGATTTAGCAGGTCTACGATCTAGTTCAAGAAACAAACAAAAAGCATGTGTTGAGGTATTTACACCTATACCTCAACAGAGGACAACACGCACTGTGAACATGCAAAACAGTGACGATGACTTCATCAACCCCCCTAATAATCCTGACAGTGAGGAAACATTAAAGCGTGCAAGGGATGGAGACAGTGAACAGACACCAAAAAGGATGAAGAGGAAAAAGGTTGGTATACTAAAAATCTTTAATTTTTTTTGTGTATTCAATGATGGATAATTTGATCTAATTATATTATTTTTTTGGGTGGAGAAGCTTGCGAAGAAAAGACATGTGAGGTCCAACAATGACGATAACCTCGTCAACCCCCCAAATAATCATGCCGATGAGGAAACATCAAAGCGTAGTAGGGATGAAGATAATGAACAGATCACCGGAAGGAAGACAATGAACAGATCACTGGAAGGAAAAAGATGAAAAAGGTTAGTGTACTAAACATCTTTTTTTGGTATTAACTGATGGATAATTTGATCTAATTATATTTTTTTGTCACTGGAGAATCTTTTGAGAAAAAAAAGTGAGTTCTGAACCTAAGGAGTTGACTAGGATAAGGGTCTCTCCAAAGATATTCTCTGATATGGTTTCGTCACTCTCTGACTCCCAAAAAGAATGGGTGAGACTAGCTGGACTTGGGGCTCTTTTACAATTTGGATTAAAGGAACTGCCACATCAGTTGGGGTACCAGATTCTGTAGTCCTTTGACAGTGAATCCGTTGCGCTTAATCTTCCCAGAGGATCAATCAGTATCACAGAGGAAGATGTACATCAAGTGATGGGATTACCTCTAGGCAGGAAGCGTATACCAGCTTCCAGTACTGGCAAGTCAGCATTGGTGGATGAATGGAGGGGTCAATTCACAGACAGATTTGGTTGGAAAATTACTCCAGGGGCTGTGTCTGATAAACTGAAGCACACTTCTGATGTTAACCTGTTTTTTAAACTGAATTTCTTGGTTCTCTTTCACAACAGCATGATCCAGTCGCTTAGCAATCCGTATATTAACCAACAGATTCTAGTACTTGGTGATGATGTTGATCAGTGCTCTGAATACAATTGGTGTTCTTTCTTGCTTGACTCAATGATAGATAGCCACCACAAGTGGAAGGTTGACCCGGCAAAACAATTCTACACGGGTCCTCTTGCATTCTTGATTGTAAGTCACTTGTATAATATTGATTTATTTCTACATTACTGCAGTTAAAGCAGTTTTACATTATTATTACTAATTGATGTGCTTAATTTCTTATCTCCGTCTTTCTAGCTGTTCTATGCCGATCGGGTTCTGTTCAAAGGTAGGAGGTTGGTTGAGAGAACAACCCCTACATTTTTAGGATGGACTGACTTCGCCTTGAAGGAAAGACAGTCAGAGGAAATAAGTACAAATTCATTTGGAAAAGGTGCATTTACAGAGAGGGTTGAACTTGCACCTTCATCTCGAATGCAGAGTGCTACTGGAAACTCTCCTAAAAGTGTTGACACAATTAGAAAGGTTAGCAAAATAAGTTGGAATACTTTGTTTATTCAATATATTTTAGATTCAGTAGGAGTGAATCTCGATTCACTTAAACTAAATGTCGATTCAGAACAATGAATCATTTTAATAGCAATGAATATCGTTTCAGATCAGTGATTATCAATCAAGTTAATCTGAATTCAGATTCAGTTAAGTGAATCCGGATTCAGTGATACTCAATATCGATCTATTGAACTGAATCTGGATTCACTATTACTGAATCTCGATTCATTAAAATGAAACTGGAATGAATCTGGATTCACTATTACTGAATCTTGATTGAAATACATTGAATGTAATCTCAATCTATCGAAACTTGTCTATCGCCATGTTAATAATTTATGGTGACCAATGTTTGTGATATTCAAAATGCAGGATTGTATTGAGAGGGTTCAACGGAGAGCTGCAGAGCTGGAATCTGCAAAAAATAGATTTGATGCTGAGTGTGAGACAATGAGAAAGCTGTTCCCCGATGACAATGAGCTCTTTCAAATTCAACAAAGAGTTTCAAATGTTCTTGTGCAGGGGTGTGGACATCGTGTAAGTACCTGTGACGATGAAACAGCTGTGGGAAACATTGTTGATGATACCCCTAACGTGAACACCAAGGTGAGTAGAGATATGCATTGTTCCCCTGCTGTTGATCCAATATCAGGTGATATACCACAAACACAAGTCTCCCCAATGTTTATTCAAGAAGTTGATAAGATTATAGAGTCTGTTAGCATGAAAAAGGATGACAGACCAGTGAGACGGAAGATCAGCGAATGTAGTACCCCACAGACTGAGGAACCTAGTTTTTCTCTTGGGCTGACACAGGATACTCAGACTGAATCAGTGGAAATGGTTGATGTTGTTCAGATTGCTAAAGCTTGTGAATCTGAAATCATTAATGAATCTGTACAAAGAACTGATAAACAATCTGAAGATGCTGCTGCAGTTAATGAATGTAAAGGTAAGAAAGTTCAGGTGGCCGAAAATAAGGGACATGCGGGAAGGGGGAAAGAAAAGAGGATGGTAAAGCCTGCAACGTCTCTTCGGTCACCATGGGTGCAGAGGGTATCTCAGATTACTGCTAGGCAAAGTCAGCTGGAAAGCATCATATGGAATTGGGTACATAGAGAAGAAGCAAGGCATTCAGGAGATGATTCTGCTGAAGAAGAGAATTTGTGAGTTCTTAAATCTTATTTGATATTTTATTTTTAGGTGTGAGACTCACTGTTTTTAGTATTTTGTCCCTTTATTAAATTGAATATTGTTACTGTTTTTTCAGTGAAATGGTTTTTAAGTGGAGACAAATTGAATGTTTCTTACCTGCTTTCAAGACTTTCCTTCCTACTGATTACATTGAGGCAAATGTAATCAGCATTTGGTCCTATATTTTGAACAGCAGAGAACAAATGAAGTCTGGAAATTCTCCACTTAGATTCTTCTGCAATGTTGAGACAACCGTACGTATCTTCCTTTATTTTATTTAAAATAACACTTGAGTAACATATTATTTAACCAGTTTTATGTTGTACAGTTTTGCAACATTCATCACACAGATGAGGTCAATGATAAATTGAGATACAATCGGTTTGCTACCCAGATGGATGAGCAACTTTCTCTGTATCCACATATGAAGTTTAATGAGATTGATATGGTAAAGATTCGAAGACAATGTTTTTATTCTTTAGCCCAATTTTAACTATATCTGTAAAATCTCTTATTAAATTTCATGACAAATAGGTCTTCTTCCCCATAAATGCGTTTGAGCATTTCTACATTGTATGCTATGGGCTAAAGAATCCAAGTATGGAGCTGATTGACAATAGCAAAAACTGCCCAGACTACAAGGAAAAATACCAAGGTCGTCCTGAGGGTTTGGTATGTTTTTTCCACCTTACGTATGTTCTTTAAACATTTACTGGCCAAAAACAGTAATGAGTGAATCCAGATTCACTATAGTGAATCTGGTTTCACTATAGCTAATCTGGATTCACTATAGTGAATCCAGATTCACTATAGCTAATCTGGTTTCACTATAGCTAATCTGGATTCACTATAGTGAATCTGGATTCACTATAGTGAATCTGGATTCACTTTAGTGAATCTCGATTCACTTTAGTGAATCTCGATTCACTATAGTGAATATGGATTAAATATAGTGAATCTGGAATTCAATAGAGTCAGAGAATTCGAGATTAGCTAACTCTAGTGAATATCGATCACTATAATTAGTGAATCTGGATTCACATTTACTATGAAGCTCAATTCACTAGACATAGCGAATCTGTGTTCACATCACGTAATAACGATCCACTAGCTATAACTAGTGATCTGAAATTTTGATCACGAGAGTTAGTGAATCTGGATTCACATCTTACTATAAATCTCGATTCAATATAGCTGGTGAATTTGTGTTCACATCACATAATCACTATGCACTACCTATAGTTAATTCTAATGAATCCAGATTCATTAATATGAATCCAGATTCATTATAGTAAATCCAGGTGAACTAACTCTATTAAATTCTAGCGAGCTAGATCCAATGAATCGTGATTCAATGTCATTAATACTGTTTGCATATAAACAACCAAAACAAATTGTATATTACATTAAACATTGCTGTTTCATAATTTGGATTTGTTATGTGACACTGATTACTTTTGATTAAACAGCACCACAATTTTGTGAGATATTTGGCACACAAAAAACATCACAAGGCGAGTGAAATAAATACATTAACGCCTGACAGACTTGAGATGGAGTGGAGAACGGCCAAAAACAAATTTGATTATGCTATTTTTATCATGAGACATATGGAGACCTACATGGGCGGTGGTACAGCAAATTGGAACTCTGGTTTTCA